ACACTGAAGCCAAAACCGCTTTTGTCCCGCGTGATGTGGCAGAGGCGTGGGCGGATGTCAGCCGGCAGCATCTGGGACAGGTCCCTGCCCAGGGCTTTGGCTGCTTCGTAGGAGTCGCCATCCAGCACTGCCAGTAGGACCTGGTTCCCGCTGGCCTTGATCTTCTGCACCACCTGGAAGGACCCAGGATGTGAGCCCTGGGCAGGATGCCCCTCCAGCCACAGCCTGTGAGATCAGGGCTCTGGGGGCAGCAGGGACCTGCACCCTCTGTGCCCCTGGCTGGGGAGGACTCAGGCATTCTCACAATCCCAGCTTACCCTGCAGTGGTCCATATGGTCCACGAAGTGGCCATTGACCTGGAGGAGCCGGTCCCCGTCTTGCAGCCCCCTGCGCTGGGCCAGCCCCCCCAGTTCCACCTGCCGGATGACATGGCCCCGGCAGCCCAGCTCCTCGTGGAGGCAGAAGCCGAAGGTCTCCGCACTGCCCTTGCTCAGGAGATAGAAGCGGGGCTCCCCCATGCCCTCACCATCTGCATGAGGGCACAGCCCATGAACAGAGCCCTGCAGTGATCCTAACACAAGTTCTCTGCCCCATCCTGGGCTGGGGGGTCTCCCCATCCCCACTGCATTACATGTTCACCTCCCCATAGCTCCCCAGCATAAGACAACCCAGGACTCCAGTGACACTCAGCTGCCACAATCCCATGCTGACACAGAGACGCCCTGGGGAGATAAGGGTATTTACCCATGTCCTCAGTCAGTGACAAGGCGGGGTTGTCGATCCCATCTTTTGGGTTAAATTCAAATTTTCTGAAATGATAAAGGGCAGGAGAGGCCACGTTAGTGCAGCAGCATGGCCTTCCACCCAACCTCCCCAGCCCTGCCATGGGGAGCCCTGTTCCTCCCAGAAAGGGCCAGCTGGGGCCACAGCTCCAGTGCCTCCTATTCCCTGGGGAAAACCAGGAAGAGATCTCCCTCTTGGACTGTACCCCACATCTCTTCTGAGTCAACAACTCAGGGAAGACCTTGCTGGGGCAGGCAGCTGGGATTGGCAGCCATGACCCACACCACCTCAGCTGAGGATGTGCCCCAGCACAGCCTGGTTGGGGAGCCATGAGCCCCAGAAAGCACACAGACAGGGAGAGCTCAGCACTTACATGATGGACTCCTTGTCACCCTCGAGCCCTGCAGAGGGAGAGGAGAGGTCAGTGCAGGAGGCGGCAGGCTGGGAGAAGACCTCATGCTCTCGAGCACTCAGGGCTTGTCCACTCGCAGGCTGAGCATGCCATGCCACGTGAGGTGGGTTTGTCAAGTCCACACAGCACCCCCAGCCCCTCTACCCCCCAGCTACAGCCTGTGCCCGGGCACAGCTCAGCTCTTGGCCCCGCCACCAGTGTCTTCTTGCATTTCAAAGCAGCAGGACACCTGCTGCTTGGATCCACTGGGTACCGCTGCCCAGCCCAGTGGGGCCCTGCAGCACCATGGGCAAAGTAGGGCCAGGCAGCAGTATGCAGATATGCAGATGGAGGTTAGTCCTGGGAGTTTACAGGGCTTTTGAGTGAGGGATGAGAAGGGTCACCAGGGCCCCAGAGAGCTGGCTGGAGCCAGGAGATGGAGACAGAGGCCTTCCCCTGTGCACCTCCACATAAAATCCCTCCCTACCTCTTCTAGCACAAGGACCCCCAAACCCAAGGAAAGAGGATTCCTGCTAAGCACCCCCACAATGTCCATCTGCATTTTCTGGGATGCCTCTAGCTCCTTTCCATGGCCTGCCTGGGCTCTGATATTGCCTTGCTCCGTGCAGAAGCAGGATCTGGAGATGTGCATGTGGGGAAGGGCCTCCGAAGCACGAAGCCCCACTGCCCCAACACATACCTTTTGTTTGCTTCATGGTTGCAGGGAATGCGAGAGGGAGCAAGGTACAGGGTGAAGTGGCAGGGAAGCCACTGTCCCCGCCTCTTCCAAGACGCCCCAGGTTTAATGGTTAAACAGCCACAATGTCTCCCCTGCCTTCCCAGCCCCAGGGCACTGCCAAGCCCTCACCCAGCAGAGAGAGCTGAGAGCCAGGACCAGCACCGTAGGACACCCAGCTTAGGAACAGATCCTGGTGTCCCAGCTTCCAGCTGCCCCCAAGTGCAGCCCATGGCAGGGAAGACCAACTGGTTTGGCGTGGGCTGCCCCATCCTAAGCCCATGAGACAGGGAAGGGCCAAAGCCTTCCACTCCAACTGCTGGAGGGACAGCTGCACCAGCGTCTTTGCATTCCTCCCCCTCAAAGGGCTTGCAGAGGATATCAAGTCTTGGCACTAGTGTGCTTCAGTGGAAACAAAGCGGTGCACTTTAATGCTACCAAAGGTTTCACAAGCAAGCCTGTGTCCTGCCCCTCTGCCACTGCTGTGGCTCATGGCCAGGCCAGCAGTGGCCAGGGTGCAGGGGCTGGGTCTCTACAAGCCCACAAGAACAAGTCCCATTTGCTCGTGGCCTGGTCTATGTCCAGTTCTCACACACTTCAGCCTTGCCCGTAGATGAGGGCTGAGCCCCACGCACCCAGCACCTTCGACAGCCTTGGTAGCACCTGACCACTAGGCATCTCCATATGAGTAAGGGCACAGGGGATGTGCTGCTGGGGCACACTCCAGTGTTTCCTCCCCAGCAGCAGTGCTCCCTCCCTGGCCAGGTGGATGGACAGCAGGTTAGAGGGTCCCATGCTGCAGTTTCCCCAGCATCTTCTTGACCTCACTCTCGACTCGTAGGAACTTGGCTTTCCTCCAGGGGTTGGCAGTCTGTCTCCGGCTGCTCTCCAGGTCCTGTAGGATGAGGGCAAGGTGCTGACGAACCCGCTCTCGATCCCAGAAAGGCAGGTTCCTCTGCACCACATTCAGGATATTGGACCAGTAGTCGGAGACGTCGGTGCCTGCTGTAAGGAAAACCAGTGCCCTGACACCATCCCGGTCCATGCGCAGGCTGTGAAGTGCCTGCTTGCCATCCTCACTGATGTCGTTGAAGTACAGACTGTGGGTTGAGAGGAAAGGAGAGGGAGACACTGTGAGGGCTGGGAGACAGGACAGAGGCAGACAAGGACTCCCCACTCACTGCCATGGGGAGGGACACTGGGTCAGAGGTATTGCTTGCAAGAGGGGAGAGTTGGGGCAGAGTGAACTCACTGCACTTTGTCCAGCGTTGCATGCTTTTTGGCCACCTCCACCACATGCAGGGCAGCTGTGTCTGTCAGGGAATTGTAGCCCAAGTTGAGCTCCTGAAGGTGCTGGTTCTTGGCCAGATGCTGAGCAATGACCTTGGCGCCCTGGTCTCCCAGTGCGGTGTGTAGCAGGGACAAATGGGTCAGCGAGCGGTTGCCTGCCAGTGCCTCGGCCAGGTATTGTGCCCCCTGCTCGCCCACAGGGTTATTTGCCAGCCTGTGGACACAGGAGCTCAGAGCAATGCTGAGGCTGGGCAGGGGGCCCAGGGTCAGGGAACATGGTGGGTAGCAGAGACAGTTTCATGCAAGGACAAACGCAGTACTCACCGCAGGTTGCTCACGACACACTTGTCATGCAAGAGCAGGTCACGGATATCCTTGCAGGCATCAGAGCCCAGGCTGTTGAGCTGCAGACTGATGCAGAGTGAGACATGGGGGTGGCAGGACTGAAATGGCTGTTACTTGTGTGGCTGGCATCCCTGGTCTCTCCATTTTCCCTGGCCCTCCCCATCAACATCCTGCCCGGGCTCCCCAGAAAAGGCCATGCAAGGCTTCGTCTCCAAAAGGAAGCACACTGAAACCACACCAGAGCTGGGGTAGCATCAGCCAACAGAGCCAGTGCCAGCAGATGCAAGGGAGGGAAAAAGGTTGCAGGGTCCGCAGGGGCTGGGTGAAAGTCTGAGGAAGGATCAGGACCCCATCAAGCCCTCCTGAGCATCTGGAGGAAGGAAGTGCTGCACAGCCCCGCAGCACAGCTGAGTCCATCTCTGCTGAGCACGGCTCGCCACCCCCTGGGCGACAGGAAGACTGCAGTTCCAGAAATGGACTGGAACGGAACCCATTCCTTTGCACAGCCCAGATTGAGGAAGCCTTGGGCTGCGTATCTCCTGCCCAGAGTTAGTAGTAGCAGAGCTAGCTACACAGGCATGCTGGGTGGCTCTGTGGTACCAAGCAATGGGAGGGACCTGGCTGCCCAGCCTGTGGTACCAGACAAAGAGAGCGGCCCAGAGTTCCACGGGAGGGTGTGCTGGGACTGCAAATCCCAGCATGCAGTGCCCTAGCAAGGCTGCTCAAGGAGTGTTGCATGTTGGAAGAGGTAGTCCCCTAGGTCTGTGCCGGGGATAAAGAAGGGCATGCATGTCCTTCCCTACCTTTGCCACGCTCGGGCTCCTGGTGTATCCCGGTAATGGGCAGAGGTGAGGGAGAGCCCAAGTTTTGAGCAAAATGGTACTCACTGGAGAGCTTTGCATCGCAGAAGGACAGGGAAGAGGATCCTCAAGCTGCTCGTGTCAAGGTTGCAGGAGGTCAGGTTCAGCTCCTCCACCTCGTGGCAAGTGGTGCCCATGACAGATGCCAGGACAGAGCACTTGAGAGGGGTCATCTTGACGGATGAAAGGTTGACAGTCCGGAGGGAGCGGATGGCCTCAGCTGTGAAGCGCTCGTTCTGGAACTCATGCAGGAAGAAAAGGTAGTCCATCAGCTCAGAGGGGGGCAGCCCCTTGCGGCTGTTCCTGATGACTGTCTTCTTCATGGCTTTGGCAATCTCAAAAGCTGCCAGGTTCTTGATGGAGCAGCCCAGCTGCTCAAGTATGGCGCGGTTACGGCGGGACAGTATCCCACCCATGAAGATGGGGAAGAGCTCAAAGACCTCATCATCAGGGGCCTCATCAGGGTGGCGCATGGGGCCCTCCACGCCCAGGATGCTGGAATTGATCTGGTCCAAGACATCATCATTGTAGTAGTCCTCCTCTTTGAACAGCTCCTCTGCCATAGTGTGGGCAATAGCATCCCGGTCCTTACCACTCAGTCGGGAGAAGTAGCGAGGGAAGATTTTGAGCAGGTTGAAGAGCACTGGCAGGAAGCGCAAGGGCAGCACCTTGGAGATGATATTCAGAACAACAGCGACATCTTCACTCACCTTCCCAATGACCTCTGACAGCTCCTTCCCCACTCTCTGTGCCAGGGTCTTCTTCTCACCCAGCACCACATACAGGGCTGCCAGGTACTCCTGCATAGCAGGGATGGTGAAGACAAAGGTGTGCTCTTTGCCTGGCTGCACACACGGAGTGAGGAAGAAGCGGAAGACGTCGCTGCGGAAGACCTCCAGGAGGTTGAGCTCACTTTCAGTCTTCATCTCCACCTCAAAGCACTGCTGCAGGTCATCCTCTGAGAAGCAGGTCTTGCGGGACATCACGCCTTCATAGGCCAGCTTGCCCACTGTCTTTGCCACGTACTTCATCATGGAGATGTTTGTGGGGTCAGTGCTGTCCAGCACCTCCCCGCTGAAGTTCAGCCTCAGGAAGCTGGTGTAGATGCCCGTTAGGGTCTGGCTGGGAGGCACTGTCCTGGTGAAGTAGAGGAAGTGCAGTGTGGTGCACACCAGCCAGCAGTAAGAGGGCAAGAAGCAGGCAGCAGCTATTTGGTTGTGGCGCTCTAAGTTCCTTGACAACATCTCCACCAAGTTTTCCTGGTCACCTGAGCTGCTACCCACACTGTCCTCTCCACTGCAGCCAGGCTGGCTGAGGCGCATCTGGAAGTACAGCTTCTGCAGGTTGGTGTCAGAGAAGCCACAGATCTCAGCATAGCGGCCCACATACTTGCCAGGGATCCGGCGTACCGCTGATGGGCGTGTGGTGATGATGATGCTGGCCTGGAAGCAGAGGGCTGGGTGAGTTTGGAGGTGCTCCCTCTGTGGCTTTGATCTAAGCTCAGCAGGGTCCCAAGTGCATAACCCACATATAGGTGCACAAGGATCACACTACCCAGGGACTGGGGTTCAAGAAGCTGCTGCCCAAAGGGTGTTGGTTCAAATCTGTCCCTGGCAGAGGAGACAGAAGAGCTTTCCCCATCCCCTGCTGGACATATATCAAGTCTGAAAGACCACAGCCCAGCAGACTGCCTTCTTTGCCTTACCAGGCCTCCACAAAGATTCCACAGAGACAAACCAGTAACAGTGACACGAGGTCACCTTGGTGAGTCCCTCCAGGAATGTAGGCTGCCTGTTTGCTCACAGCCAAGCTGAACTACAAGCAATTAACACAATAGCCATGCCTGCAATGCCCCAGGGCTCACCCCCAGCCTTTCTCCAGCATGAAGGAGCTGGAGGGAGACACTGACCTCTGGCAGGAGGTATTTTCGCAGCAGGTTGACCACGATGGCAGAGGGAGGCACAGGCTCATTGGGGTCACAGCATAGCTCCGTGCCAGCCAGTCGGAAGTCCAAGTTGAGGCGCTCCAGGCCGTTGAGGATGAAAAGCACCTTGAGGTTGGAAGCGCCCAGCATTGGCACCACGTCCCGGAGGTGCTGGTACTTCTTGGTTATGAGGCGCCGCAGGGAGATGGGGGCATGACTATGGGACAGGTCCTCACAGGAGAAGGGGATGACCAGCTCAAAGCGGGGTAGGCGACCATGGCACCAGTCCACCACCATCTTCTTGATGAGGGTGCTCTTCCCTGTGCCCACAGTGCCATACAGCACCACATTCTTCACCTGCCGCCCACAAGCATCCACATCGAAAAGGTTCTGGATGCTGATAATCTGGCTGCAGGACTGCTGGAGCTGGTTTTGGATGGTCAGGTCAGGAGAGGGCTTCAGGATCTCCTCTAGGGAGCTTTCCCGGATCACTGGGTCCACATGGACTGCACCCAGCGAGAAGGACGGGCCAAACTGCCTCTCTTCATTGGGCTGGTGGCT